CTAAAATAAAATAAAATAAAGTAAAATAAAAGAAACTAAACTAAACTAAACTAAACTAAACTAAACTAAATTAAAATAAAATTAAAAACATAAAATAAACTAAAAAAACATTAAATAAAATAAAAATCTGATGTGTGGCTCCTGACACCAGGGGGCGCTCATTCATATCTTCCTCGTCAGTTTTTATTAAAACCCACGAAGAAGAAGCAGAAGGATCAAAGATGGCCGCCCTCGGAGCTCAGTCCTCTGTCAGTGATCTCGTCCAGGTTCTGATGGATGTTTATCGGTCTTTTCTCAGCGGGTCCGGTCCCGAACCGAGCTGCCGGGACGTCGCGGTTCTGATTCGCTCGGGTCTGAGTGGACGGGTGCCGGGAGGGGCCACGTGCTGGGAGCTGACCTCCATCAGTCTGGGTCTGGTGAAGAAGCTCTGCGGGAGTCCGGTTCTTCAGAACCTCCCTGCAGAGTCCACGGTCCGCTGGGAGGAGGTCCTGAGGGTCCTGGTGGAAGACCTGGGTCTGATGTCTCAGCTGGTGGGTTCCTCTCTGGTTCCGGTCCAAACAGAAGGCTCTCCCTCAGCAAAATATACTTCCTGTGTACTTTTTATGTTCTTACCTGAGATATACTAAACCAAGTACAGTATACTTGGTTTGTACTACAAATGTACTCTAAGTATACTTAGTCTGTACTAATGTTGAAACGTTTGGCCAAGAAAAACTTCAGTAGTACACTGAAAGTATATTTTTCACACAGTTTGGTTTATTTGTAGTATATTTCAAGATTAAACTAAAAGTATACTTAGAGTACTTCCATATACTTCTGAGTATACTTTCATGAACTTGTTGTGGGTCAATTTAGTTCTAGAAGTATACGTGTCAGTAAACTGCTAGTATAACTGTGTACATGGTAAATAAAAGTCCACTTAGGGAAATACACTTTTATATACTTTAGTATACTTAATGTCATGTACTTAAAATACACTTTTATATACTTCAGTATACTTAATGTCATGTACTTAAAGTATACTTCTCTTTGGTAAGAGTATAAACTTGAAAAGACAGTATAACAGTAAACTTAAAGTATACTTTTATAAACATCCCAATTTAGTACAAACAAGTATTAAATCAGTATACTTTCTAGTACACTAAAAGTACACGGTGCATAGTATACTTGATGTACTTAAACTTATACTCAGTACTACTCTGTCGGTCCAGGTCCAGCTGCTGCGGGCTGAGGACCAGCTGGTCTCACATCTGGCAGCAAAGACCGTGTCGGTCTGCGTCCTCCAGCTCCTGAGGACTTCTGTGAGTCCTGCTGAGGTCCTGATGAGGTCCTGCTGGACTCTGTAGACCTGTGTCCTGACGTGGACTCAGCCGGTCCTGTCCTCTGTGTCTCCAGGGGGACGTGAGTCCTGAGTGGCAGGAGACGTGTGTCCAGGCCTTCAGCAGCTCCTGTCCTCCTGCAGAGCTGGACCCCTGTCTCTGGTCCCTGACAGAGGTCCTTAAAACTCTTCTGAAAGGATCTGATCCAGGTTTGTGTCAGGGTCCAGGGTCCAGGTGAAAGTCTTTGTTGTCTGATCTGTCTCTCTGTCCCTCAGAAACCGTTGGGGGTCTGGTTTCTCGGTTGGAACCCGGTCTCAGGATTCTGTGTTCCAAACTGATCCCTGAACCCAGTCCAGAACCCGAGCCATGTTGGACTGGTTTTACCTTCAGGAGGTCCTGGAAAACCACCTTCTGCCTCCTGCTGGACCTGCTGGAGGTTCTGGCTGCATCCAGGTCTGTTGTTGGACCGGAGGTCTGCCAGAGACCGGCCCAGGTCCAGTTCTCAGCCCTCCTGGCAGCGGTCAGCGGCTCGCAGGGCTTCGTTCAAGACCGGACTCTGCTGCTCCTGAAGAGAGTCCTCCTGCAGGGGCCCGGGGACGACTGGTCTCTGGGGGGACTGAAGTCCAGAGACCTGGACCCTGACCTGAGGGTTCTGGCCTGGAGCGTGCTGGCAGCGGTGACCCACGGCTGGCTGCAGACCGTCCAGGTAGAACCGGGCGGGTTCTTTGGAGGGACCCGACCCGTCCCAGGAGACGAGGACCAGAAACCAGGAGGTGTGACGCTTCGAGCCGTTGGCCTGGTTCTGCTCCGGTCCACAGAAGTCCACGTCCAAACACTGGACTCAGCAGGTGAGAGTCCAACATGGACCTGGTTCTGGTGTGGCTGTAATGACCCGCTTCCAGGGAAGAGTCCAGATCCTAAAGCTTCAGCTACAGTGGGAGGAGCTTATTACAGCCTCTGTCCTCTGTGTCCTCTGTCCCTCTCTGTCCCTCTGTCCTCTCTGTCCTCCGTACAGGAGAGGACAGAGTCTCTCAGGTCTGTGGACACGTCCACAGGCTGTGGGACTTCCTGGAACGGTTCAGTGGGTCTCTGAGGGTCCGTCACCTCTGCTGCTGGATCCATGTTCTGTTTGAGGACCAGGATGATGATCTGATGGAGGCTCTCAGGACATGTCTGTCCTTATTCCTCATTTACAGGTACTTCCAGGTAGTTCCAGGTATTCCAGGTATTCCAGGTCCAACAGTTACAGATGGAGGTCTTTATCTTTCTTTGATTTGATTACTGGAAGTTGGGATCAGATGAAATTATTTTATTCTAAAACATTCAGACACAAATCTTTTCTCTGGTTAATAAACTGAATTAATTAAAAAATAAGAGCTTTAAGGAGGAACCAAGGAGGTCCTCCAGAACACCTGGAGCTCAGAAACCAGGTGACTCTGTGATCAGCAGGTGAAGCTAACGGCTAACGCTAACCGGTCCAGACTGGATTTCTCATCACTGTACATGTTGACAACAGAGCAGGAAACAGGACTGACCATGTAGAAATCATTACAACTGTTAATAATAATATGAACACAATTATTATTAATATTTTACAGTTTATATAATCTATCTAATGATTTAAATAATGTCAGAAAAGCTGTTTGTGTTATGGATTTATTAACAGAAGATAAACAGGAAAACGTCACTGTTATGGCAATATTTATTTAACAACAGAGACAGAAATACGTTGGTCAAGAATGAAGGTACTCCGTGGGATGATCAGCTG